ACTGATATATATATATATATATATATATATGTTATCTGGATGAGTATTAATATTACTCACTGACAAACTTATTTTTGTCTATTTTAGTAATGTAATACAAACCTACAGTATTTAGATAGCAAGACCAGATCAAATGTGATAAAACTTTTCAGGCAGGTGACATTTTCTATGTAACATATTGTATAGTTCATATACAATGGCTTATAGTGAAACATAAGTCTTGCATAATGTATAGTTTGCACACAATGGCTTATAATGAAACATAAGTTTTGCATAATGTATAGTTCACACACAATGGCTTATAGTGAAACATAAGTTTTGTATAATGTATAGTTTGCACACAATGGCTTATAGTGAAACAAGTTTTGTATAATGTATAGTTCACATACAATGGCTTATAGTGAAGCATAAGTTTTGCATAATGTATAGTTTGCACACAATGGCTTATAATATACATTATGCAAGACTTATGTTTCATTCACTATAAGCCATTGTGTGTGAACCATAAGTTTTATGTAATATATTGTATAGTTCACACAAAAATGGCTTATAGTGAACACAAGTTTTATGCAATATATTGTACAGTTCACACACAATGGTTTATAGTAATATCTAAGAATTATATAACATTCTGTACAGTTCACACACAAAGGCTTATAGTGAAACATAAGCTTTGCATAGCATATTGTATAGTTCACACACAATGCCTTATAGTGAAACACAAATTTTATGTAAAATTCTGTATAGTTCATATACAATGTCTTATAGTGAAAACAAAAAGTTTTACGTAATATATTGTACTTTTCACACATAATGGCTTATAGAGAAACGTGAGTTCTGCGTAACATATTGTTACGACAGAGGTAGTCATGTGACGCTGGTAACACGTCATGATATTCTAGAAGGATCGGGGAACATCACAAATAATCCAGTATGTGCTAGGCGCCCTCTATTCCTGTATATAAGTGCACTGGATAATGTGAGAGGAATTAATCGGGGTATAGAATTGCAGACAGACAACTGAGTCTAGCGCGGTAGTAACTAAGTGCGTGAATCGTTTCCTGTGAATTATAACGTGTTTTTTATAAAATTAGTTAAGTTAAATTGGCTGTGGAAATTAAGTGTATTGCAAAGTTGAAATGAGAAAGAATAAACTAGTTTTATTTAGAAAGGACTTGTATAGCTGAAGTTTTTCCGAAGGAATTTTTACGGGAAAATAACAATCGACCAGAGACGTAACAGAGACGTTCACACACAATGGGTTATACTGAAACACAACTAGGTTGCCAAAGCCAGAGATTTTTTTCGCCACTAAAAACAGTACTTTACTTCAAAAAACAATTAATCGCTCATTTTTGTGCAAAACTGCACAACGGGTTATCTTCATTATCAACCGTTGGGATTTAACCCCAAATTCTAGAAGTATAAGCCCTCAAGTTCACCACTGAACCACCCAGGTCTAGACATTTAATCATTACCTGCCTCTATTATTTCTTGTAAACCTGACTAAGAATCAATAAACTCACAAATAAGCTACAAATCAAGTAAACTAAGAGCTGGTTTCAGGCAAGCAACCACAAGACTATCTTGCATCCATATTACACTTCATCATTATATGTACTCGTGGTAATAGTATCAGCTTCAATGGCAACATTACATAGGGTATGAGCTATGTCTGAGGTATTCCCCACTCTTGTTAGTGTGTGTTTCAGCTTTTCTAGTGGATAATAACTTAGTGAAATAACTTAGTAGAAACTCATTCACAACAAATGAATACTTAACCACTGGGAACTACATTGTTAAATTAAAAAATAGTTTTCACCTTAATAACAAACAACTTGAATTAGTGAATGAATTCTACCTATCATATTTAACTTCTTGTTAAAACACTGTTATCCTAAATAAGGTAAAATTACTTATTTCTTTCTTTGGAACAGTAACCTGCAAAATATGAAGAGTAGCATTAATATTTGTTTAAACATTTATTGACTATGTTATCAACAAAGTTAGCACAAGCTTCATACACATTCAAAACTTCCTTCATTCCAATTATTATTTTAATGTATTACATTATAAGCACTTACAGTTCTGTAAGCTTCGTTACTCACAACTTTTATAAAATTAATATAAAACCCAAATGATGAAAAACTACTAAAGTGTACATACACATTCAGTTCATTTATGTTAACTCAAAGGTATAATGCTGAGTATGTACCAAGATATCTAAAACTATTAATCTTGATTTATGTTCTTGTAACACATTATATTTAATGTTAAAATGTTTAGTATTCAGTAATACATGTGTAAACAATCATTCATATGTTCTTATTGTCTTAAGGAATACAAAGATGAAACAAACTTAGTAGTGGTTATATAGCAACAACACACTTTAGCCATTGCTTTTCATGGTAAAACAAGCTTCAAATCTTTGAGTACACATTTACATAAATCCATGATTTCTTTTTAAAAAATCACTTTCTCTCTTAAATATTCTTCATTTGGAAAATTTTAATAATCAAAACTTTAACAAAGGAACTATGTAAATAGAATCATCTTTTCAGCTTTTCAATGTGGCCAAAGGTCTAATATATTTTAATAAAGTAGATGACATCATCATCAGAAATCAGCCTACTTATAGTAAATGAAATACTTTGGAAACACGTAAGCATTACACGCAGGAATCACAAATAATGAGGTGTGGCAAGTAGATGGTTTATTACTAATGGTACAAAACACTATAACATAAAATAAACCAGTATTCTGTATGTGACCCCATTACACTTTGCTGCTATACAGTTTAACAATACACAACTGTGGAATATTGTTCCATGTCCAAGAATTCAGCCAAGTTTTTCGGTCTCCTTTCAAACTACTCACTTTTTACATAAGCCTATTCAGCCTCAAGAATGTTCTTTTGGGACCTTGTACAAACCAAGCCATGGTTGTAAGTGTTCCGTCTCTTTACCATCAAGATATCATTTCATCACATTAGCTCCATGCCTGAAATGACTGTCTTGCTTAAAGACGAATCCTCACCCAAAGAGATACGTTCCTGAGGGAATGGCATAATGGATCTGAATCTGCTTGAACGTATCACCAGTCATGGTGACATGAACTCAGCATGGATCATAGACACCTTTAGCAGCCTTATACTTGCTTACTGATTTCCTCCCCCACCATGCTTCACTGTAGTTGTACATTGACCATGATACTGTTCTTCTCTCTGCTATCAAACAAACTGTTGTAAAACAATTTGAACTTGGATTCATATATAAAAAACAGATATCTCCAGGTCTGCTCACTCCATAGTTTGTGGTCCAATTTCCATTTCAATATTTTTGCTTGATTACACTCTTCTTTGTGCTATGTATATTTTATCATTCTCAATGTAGCTTCATGCCTGTATTTACAGAAATATATTATTGACAAGATCTGTATTCAACCATCAGTTATCTTATAAAGTACATACTCTGACATACTAATGATTACTTTTGAAGAATTTTAGTTTTATACCTTGATGTACACACTTCAGTCCAGAATACAGTTCACACTAAAACTTTGATTCTTGTGACATATTTAACCAGCCAGAACTCTGATTTCTTCACACTTGCATTCAGT